GATCAGTTCTCTCTATGATACTTTATCCACTTAATAGTCTTTCATATGCATTTTTCTTGTGGGGTTGAACTTATTTTAAATCAGAGGTTTTTGGAGGCAGTAAGCTCATAAATGTTCGATTTATCTCCCTGAAGTTAATACATACACTCTCCTTTATACCTGGAAAAATTTGACTCATATATGCATTAACTGTGTGCCTCTTTTTTCTTGTGACAATGAGCAGGTGGAGCTGGCTATGGAAAAGTCATGCTTTCTTGATAGTAAGTTTTTACCTTGCAGAGTTATTCTTTTCAAGCAGAATAAAATGTTGTATCTTATACCTTGTTTATGTATATATTCCCTAGCATTGAAAAGAACGTGTACCCTATTCATATCATATATCAATATTCAGATGTGATGTTGAACAACAGATGAAAAGTCATCCATCAATATGTCCGTTCTTGGATGACAAAATCCATAAAGGGGTATATTAACTGATGCTGGAAAAATATAATGTGATATCTGTTATATGCATGGCTTCAATGAGTGTGAAAGGAGACAAGGATGTTACTGGAGTTTAAAGATAGAAGATTTATAAGAAGAAACAAATTATGGACTGGTTCGAATGTCATGAGGGAAAATTAACATGTTTGAAGCTCTTTATTTTTTTTCCAAATTCTGTCTTCCTACCATAGAAATAAAAATATATTTTGTTGTTTGCTGTGCAATGGGCATTGGCCTTCCATGTTTCATACAAGATTGATATGGAAATGGAGTCTCTGTGTCTGCTACTCCATAAAACTGAGTGGTGTTTATCACGTTTTTTTTTTGTCTCCTTATCCCGAGTTTAATCATTGCTTGTGCATTTCTTTTCTAGCATGCACCTTGACCTTGCCCTTGCCAGTTTTCAGATCCATACAGAAGTTTGCAACTTGCAGCAACTGAAAGGAGCTATCACTGAATGCAAACTTGAAAATCAAATTTGAGGTATGTCTTTGAACCAATATGAACTAAATTTAGCTTTTCAGCACCTCCTTTGATCAAATCATATGACTCTTCTCAACAGGGGGACTGAAGGGGAAAGCACTGCTAGCCTTGTTTTTTCTGCTTCCTCCAGGTCTCAAAGGCTATGAGTAAATTAAAAGAAATGGAGTAGAGGTTTCCTGCCCGTCGCCAATCTTGTCTCAACCGCTCAACCTCATTGCATGGGTAAATAATAGATCAACCTTTTTTCAGAGAGGCAATAATGATTACTTAACATTTGGGCAAAGAATTATTCTTTGATTTGAAGATTGCCAATTAGAACGGCTAACTGAACTATTGAAGAATCATTTCTATGATTCTAAAATATGATTGTAGCAATCTAATATTGCTGCAATGTAGTACATACTACTGGCGCAGCCGAACTAGTCTAGAAGAGAATTCTTTACCAACAAATGGCATTCTCTCTATGTACATCCATCATCAATCGACAAAAGTATTTCTATACCTATAATATAAACTTCTTTTTTTATAAGTAAATTAGAGAGTTAGTTGTTCAGTAACATAAAGGTCGAAACATTTAATCTTACCTCTAAATTAAATTTCTTTTGGTTAGTGGATATTAATTTAGCCAAGCCCTTATTGGTATCCCTATACATTATTTGCAAAGTTGGAGCATCTAATTTAGGATCTGGGAGCAGTTGTGGTTAGAGGGCAATCTACCTACCTTAATGGGACACTTATGAAAGGGAATCACCAAAGATTACTTGCCTCTTATTCTCGACTTATGTTTGATTCTTTGCCTCGACGTGAATCCTCCTGCGTGAGCTTCTCTTCAAGTTATCCTCTTTTCCACAACTCTCCTTAATTCTCCTTTCCTCCGTCTTCTTAGTCTCTGATTGTATCTTCAAAAAAACAATGTCTAACCAGGAAAACAACCCACATTTTCTTCAACAACAACCTCTTCAACGTTCTGATCTGGCACCAAGTCGCCCAGAGCATAATCCCCACACGTTAGCAAGGCAACAAAAAGACCCTGAGTCACTTGTTCGATGGAGTGGCGTGACTCATCAACTCCCAAACCATGGTCCCCAAGAGCCATCAAAACCCACCTCGGAGCCAATTCGTCCAGGGACTTCGACCTTACAGCACCCTCCACCCCCCACCCCAAAATGGAAGAGGCTAAAACGGCAAGGCAAAGATTCCAAGCCATCTGGCACAGTGGCGTCGCAACCACCGCCACAGTCTTCCGACCCTCATCCTATTCTTCCATACGTGCCCCCATCCGAAAAGCCGGAGCAGCCTCCAGCTCGTCCGTCAGGTAGTCCAGCAAACCATTATCGACAAGCAAACCGATCACTCCTCGGAAGAGACCGTCGCACCAAACTCCCAATATGGTTCGGCGCAGTATTCTGTGCCATCTTTTGGATCGTGATAATCCTAGGAGGCTTAGTCGTTCTCATAGTATACCTCGTCTTCCGCCCAAAAAGCCCCTGGTTCGACGTCTCCAACGTCAACCTGAACGCAGCATATCTGGACATGGGTTACCTCCTGAATGCCGATCTCGTCCTCCTCGTAAATTTCACAAACCCAAACCACAAGGTGAGCGTAGACTTCAGCTCCATGTACCTCGATCTTTACTTCGAGAACACCATGATCGCCACCCAATACGTACAACCCTTCTCCGCGCCGAGGAGCAGGTCAATGTTGGCAACCATTCATATGATGAGCAGCCAAGTTCCGCTTGCCATTAAGGAGAGTCTGCTGCTCCAGCAGCAGATACAGAACAGCAATGTGACATTTGACCTGAAGGGAAAGTTTCGAGCGAGATCAAATTTCGGGAGTCTGATACGGTACTCGTATTGGCTGCACGGGTTATGCAGGGTCATTGTGAGTAGCCCTCCGACTGGGGTTTTGAGAGGTAAAAAGTGCATAACCAAACAGTGAGACTGAGTAGAAACAACACATTGCATTGGCATTGGCAGTAAATGTAATTCCCTTTCATTTCTTAAAGAATAACAAAAAATTGATTTCTTACATTTTCTTAAACCATAATTGGAAGAGTAGAAATAATTTTTTTTTATTGTAATCAAGAAAAACAAATTGTGTGCAATTAAAATTGTATAGCACCAACTATTGAACATATTGGGACCCTCCTCCACCTAATAACTCCTAATTTGCAATCCAATACAATTTAACTGCACAATAAGGGACTTTATTTTTAATAGTAAGATTTAAGTTTTACAAAACAAATTGCATATTAAAAATTTAGTCTGACCTATAAAATTATTAAAGTACCTTTAATAAAAAAATCTAAAAAATAATTTTATTAAAGGTATTTTAACAATTTTATAAGTTGATTTGTACTTTTAATATATATTTTGATTTATAAAATATATTTTTTAAAAAATAATATGGAGTTTATTGCATTTAATTTTTCTTGGTATTCACATTTGTTCCATAAGATAAAATTACTTACATTGGACAAGTGAGTCTCCAGCACCCATGGAAATGCAATTTTAAGAATTATATATATTTTTTTTGGGTAAAAACTGAAGTAACTTACAAGAATCATGGTCTGCTCTTCGGAGTAGTATAGGATTAATTACTGTTTTTAAAAGTACAAATTGAGGAATCCAGAAAAGCAGGTACTCTTTCTCTAAGGCAGGGCCAAGTATAACTTGTTCTAAACAAACATGAGATATCCAGAATAGTGAGGTAAGTTACTACTCAGAGCAGAGATGGAGGACTTAAAAATTTAATTGACTCAGCTAGCAGGACCTGAAAGATTTCAGTACAGCACAATATGTAGATTGTAGAGGATTTTACCTCCTTGCTGGGAATTTCGGGCTAAGGGGAGTCAAGCTTTTGTTTGGGCTTGACTATGATATTGGGCTTAGAGAAGACAAATAGTCCATATGAAGAAAATGGGCTTGGTTATTGCTATAAAGCATTTTTGTTTTTTTTTAGATCACACAAATAATATAGTAGGTACTTTGATTTAACTAATGTCATTAATTTATAATTTTTTATATTATAGTATTTAAAAATATTAATTTATAAGTTAATTGCATGCTAGCTTAATCAACAACTACTAACAATCATTTTGATTGTGTTTGAAATTATTGTAAAGTATTGTAACTGTGATTTTTTTAATATTTTATTATGAAAAAAATTATATTATTACTTGATATATATATTAATATAACCATTAAATTATATAAAATATTAATTAAGATTAATTTAGTTAAAGTAAATTAATATTTTTATAAAATACTATGTAAAAAAAACTAGTAAAAAAGCAACTCAAACCACAACCTTTGTGTAACCTAAGCCACGCCCGTGGAAAATGGCGATAAAATGAAGGTTTTTAGGGTGGACGCTTCCGTTTCGCTTCCACCGCTAATGACAAATCAGCCAAACTTGTAAGATTTAAATGGATTATTTTTGAGATGAACCAAAGTTTTCAAATTTCAAAGACAATTGGTCCCTATACTTTGAAAATTTTAAACCCTATTTCCTTCCACTCTTTCTCCTATCTCCTCCCTAAATTATTAAAGTTTTGCTAAATTTAGAGTCCTATATTGTCCACATACATAACCCATTCATTCTCCCTATTCTTCGTCCATTTGGGATAATTTTTTTCATCACACAATTCAACTACATTCACAAAAGCAGTCTCATTCTAATATTACTCCGTTGATTTAATTTTGATGTTATGAATGAATGAGAAATGTTATTGTTATCAACAGCTTTACGAGTTTGAGACGTAAAAAGTATCTTACTTCCACCAATCAATGCTGCAACTTGATGATTTGAAGTTGAGATTTTTTGATAGTGTTTTCCAAGGCTTCAATCTATACGTACATTAGTATAAAGCTAATTGATAAGACACATTTTATATGTTTTAATTTTTTATTTTATCCTTAATTTTATTCATATTTGGATAGATAGAATGTGATTTTTAAAAAATTAAATTTTACATAATTCTCATTTTTTGTGCAAACAAAAACTTGAATGCATAAGAGTAGAAGTTTTAAGACTTAAATACAATTCTTTTGAAAGTTTAGGAACAATATTGCAAGAAGAAAGCTTGCAATCAATGACTTATATGGATAAATTTGAAAATTTTGAGATAAAGTGCTCATAAAGTAAAAGTAAAGGGACTATGTGCAATAGAAGAAATTGTAAAAAAAAAGAAAAGGACAAAATAACACGGTTTATTGTCGGCGCCACGTAGAAAGTACCGATACCGTGCGTTGACAGTTTGTGAGGTGAAGTGTGATATATTTAGCAGTAGATGTGGGTGCTTTTTAAGATTAAGAGAGAGGCAGTCACAATAAACTTAATATTAAAAGAAAATCATACCTTTAGTTTTTATACCATCAAATTCATTTTATTTATTCTTAAATTTTACTTTATGATATTATATATTCTTATATTTATTTTGAAATATTAAATATTATAATATTATATATTCTTATATTTATTTTAAAATATTAAATATTATTGACCACTATTAAAATTGATTTAAAGAGTATAATTGAGATAGTGATTTTATTCAATAATTTTGAATAATATAAATCATGAATTGAAAGGAAGCCAAATGGAATAATGTGATTTATGCAACATTGATGATAAATAGACTTGAAAGTTTATACCTAAACCAGAGAGTTTCTATCTAAACTAGAAAGTTTTACATAACATAATATATATTTATTTATTTAAATTCATTTAAGAATATAATAGATTACAATTGAAGATGAATGCAATGTTACTTGAGAAAATATATTGAATAAATTAAGAAATTTCATTATCACATAAAAAATAAATATCTTTGAAATATATTAATTTAAATTCTATATTAATTGACTACGATAAAATCAAATGTTTTAAAATCTCAAATCTTAGTGTCACTTAAGTCAATTAATTTTTTAATTAGTTTGGTTAATTATTCACTCAATTTTTTTAATTTTAGTTATTCAAATAAAATTAAAATTAATTAATTTAAATATTTAACTAGTCCACAATCTTTATTAAATGATATTTAATTATTATTATATTACTTAAGGTAATTAACACTCTATAAAGAGTGAAATTAGCTCATCACTAACAAAAATGTAAATTTCATCATGAGCCTCGGCTTTATTTCCACCCTCAGGATGCATACCAAATTGCCACCTCAGCACCAAAAACAGAGAAGGAGGTATGATGTAGAGGGTTTACCCGCTTTTTGTAAATTTCGTATTGGGCTAAGGGGAAATCATTAAATCAAGCTTTTTTTTGGGCTTGATTATGGTATTGGGCTTACAAAAGACATTGGGCCGCATGTGGAAACTCCACTTCGAAATCGAAAGGCAAATCGGAGTCGTGGATTGCATTAAAAAAAAAAAAAAAAAGAGAAAAGGAAGTCAGAATCGTAGTGTTATAATTAAATATAAAAAGAGAAAATTGTTTTATAAGGGCTGTATGCAGTTCATCTATTTAAATAATTTTATAAGATAAATTACGTACAATTTATTTTATAAAACAGTTTTTAGATATAAAAATAAAAGATGGAATACTTTTTTTTTTTTTGGTAACAAAAAAGATGGAATACTTAAAACACATACATTAACTAACATTACTCAAACACGGCTCTTCACCTAATAATCTCTATCATGCATAATCTTTAAAAGGTCAAAGGAGAATTTCATTACATTAGAAAGCTTTAGCTTTTGAATATTTTAACTATTTATAATAAATTTGTATTAACTTATACCAATATAAATATGAAGACTATCACAATAAATCCCAAATATTATGGAAAACAGATAGCAAAGTCAAATAATCAGAAAAGAAAGAGACAAGTACATGATCAACAAGGAAAGAACAAGGAAGCAAAAATCAAAAATCAAAAACCAAGAGCAAAGGATTCAGAAATCAAATATCAAAGCAAGCAACGGTCAAGAAACAACAAAATCAAAATAATTAATAGAATGATTTTCCATTATAATAAATCAAGGCCAACTACACTAATTTAGGTGTTGAACTAGGCGGTATATATATACATATTCCTATGTTAAACATGTATCAGATATAGAGAAATATACAATCTCAATTCTCTTCCTTTAAGCCTTTGAAGTTTTTCAATATATAAAAATTACAGTAATTTTTTAGTCATCCATTTTAAAATTTTAAATCAATCCTTTATATTTTAAAACTTGTAGTTAAAAAATTAATGCAATAGTTTTACAATAGTATAAATTCATCCTTAATCATTTAAGTATAATTATTGTGTATTCTACGTTTGTTATTCCAAAACCAAGTCAAAAATAACATCTAAGTATCGTGACCTGATGATTCTAAATCTCATAATAAGGAACTTTTCCTCAGTTTAAGGTTGGGTTCGAATCCTTCTATTTCAAGCTGTAAATCGTTAAAAAAAAATAATAATAAAGGATGGGCGGCTTAGAATTAGAAGAGTTGTCGTCGACCAAGATTCTATTTCATAGCCAGGGTGCAGTCATTTTGGAAAAACCTAGGCTCATGTCAAAAAGACAATTTGAACTGGTGAAGTGAAGTTGGCCTATTTATAAGCAAGTTAAGGATCAGATATTTGAGTGCGCTTGAGAAAGTTCAAACCTGATGGCTGTCCATACTCTAATCATCTCTCTTGTTCTTCTCCTACCTGTTCTTCTGTTTCTCCTAAAAAGGAAGGCCAAAGATAGGAGAGAGCAAAAACAACTTCCTCCAAGCCCTCCTGCACTTCCAATTCTAGGAAACTTGCACCAGATTGGTGCAATACCCCACAGCTCATTTTGGCAACTCTCTAAGAAATATGGCCCCATCTTACTTCTCCATCTTGGCCGCATACCTGTTCTCTTAGTTTCATCAGCTGAGGCTGCAAGAGAAGTCTTAAAAGTCCATGATCTTGCCTGCTGCAGTAGACCCCAGTTAACTGGTAGCAGAAAGCTCACCTACAATTTTCTAGACATCGGTTTTTCACCTTACAGCGAGAATTGGAGAGAGATGAGGAAGATAACTGTGCTCGAGTTGTTCAGCCCAAAGCGAGTCCAGTCATTCCGATTCATCAGAGAAGAAGAGGTTGCCTACTTGATGGACTTGATCACCCAATCTGCAGTCTCAGCAGCTCCAGTAGATCTTGGGGAGAAGATATTTTCCCTCACTGGAAGTATACTGTTCAGAATGTCCTTTGGAAAGAGTTTACGGGGCAGTAATTTAGATCTCAAGAAGTTGGTTCACGAAGTTGAGACTGTGTTGGGAGGCTTCACAGCAAATGAATACTTCCCTTACGTGGGTTGGATCCTTGACATGATTACCCGCATTGATGCAAAAGTTGAGAAAGTTTTCAAAAAAATAGATAGTGTCTTTCAGCAAGTAGTAAACGACCATCTTAAACCCGGAAGGACCGAAAAACATCAGGACATTATTGATGTTCTGTTGGCAACACAAAGGGGTCAAACGGATCAAGAGGAGACAATTCAGCAAAAGAAAGATCGCATCAAAGCAGTACTTTTGGTAAGTTTTGATACTTGCTTTAGTTTTTCTTGATTATGCCAGCTTCTAAATTTGATGTCTCTTCAAACAGAACATATTTCTGGGTGGAATAGACACAACTGCAATTACTGTGCTCTGGGCCATGACAGAGCTGGTTAGGAAACCAAGGCTGATGAAGAAAGCACAAGATGAAATCAGAAACTGCGTTGGAAAGAAAGGAAGAGTAACAGAAGATGACCTTGACCAGCTTCAATACCTCAAGATGGTTGTAAAGGAAACTCTGAGATTGCACCCTCCTGCTCCACTGCTGATCCCAAGAGAGACCATGTTCCCTTGCAAAATAGGCGGTTATGACATTAATCCAAAAACAATAATCCAAATTAATGTCTGGGCAATTGCAAGGGATCCCAAATACTGGAAGAATCCAGAAGAATTCTTCCCTGAAAGGTTTGCTGATAATTCTGTTGATTTAAAAGGGCAGAATTTTGAGTTTTTGCCATTTGGATCTGGTCGAAGAGGTTGTCCTGCCGTTCTTATGGGGGTAATTACAACAGAGCTTTTACTCGCAAATCTACTTTACTGTTTTGATTGGAAAGTACCAGATGGGATGAAAGAGGAAGATATAGACATGGAGGAGGAGGTTGGAGTTAGTCTTACTGTGGGTAAGAAGACGCCTCTTCTCCTTGTGCCAGTCTGTTATCTTCAATAGACATCAGAAGGAACATGAATTGAAGAGCATTTCTATAAATCTGCAATGTGCAGTAAATAAGCTTCAGTTATCTATATAATATCATAATCAATAATAATTTGTTTCTTTTATCTGAATTTCTTTTCCTGACATAAAATTCTATTGTTGGTTTCAAAAGTGATTATAGAGATCTGGCAATTGATTTGGCCAATTTTTTCCTCGTCACTGTTGGCTAACCTGCAAGTACTAAATAGCAAAAACAAGGCCAAAACGGATATAAGAGAATAGAACATGGCAATTCACTAGAACCAGGGCACTGGAAGAGCCTCGAAGTTTTTCTCCAGAAAGGAAGAGATGGCCTTTGATTCTAATTAGTACAATTCATGGTAGGATTAGCCTCAAAAAAGATAGTGAACAGATAAATCAACAGATAACGTGACGCACATACGTACCCTGAAAGTTGCCTCTGGTGTGTGTCATATTTTCTACACAAGACAAGGATTGCCGAACCAATTGCCGATCGAAGCCTTAAACCAAGAGCAGAAGGCTTCCGAAGCTGACGAAACAACTTCTCACTTGATGCCAATCAGTAATGCTTACCTGTCTAAATGGTTAGG